GAGAGAGAGAGAGAGAGAGAGAGAGAGAGAGAGAGAGAGAGAGAAGGGCCTTCAACATCGTCACAACACCCGAATCGGATGTGCTTGCAACTCAGTGGCACTGCCATCATCATCCAAATGGAATTGACAAAGCGGGGAAAATCCGAGTAACAAACTGACTATCCTCTGGCATCCGCTGAAAGTCCAAAATTGTGGTGATGAGCTTATGGCTTCTCTTGACTCTGGAGGTATGTCTTGCTTGTGCAGGCTGTGTTGACTGTACATTGGCATTGTGTTAATATTACATTAAATCGATGGCTGAAATCTTCAAAATCGAAACGGCAAATGGAGTCAGGTGATGCAAAAGAGAGAGAGCAAAACCTGTTCATAAAAAATGAGCATCAAATAACGAGCTTCTATGAATAACTCCATATTCAACGTGGTCCCCGATTGGTCAATCGTCAAGGTCGTTCCCAAGAAGGACACTGCAGTTATACCGTGACAAACTAAATGGTACAGAAAAAAAAAAAAAAAAAAAAAAAAACAACGATCCAAGGGCCTTGGCAAACGGAATGGTACAGAAGAAACAACAACAATGATTTAAGGGCCTACGCTCTGGTACACACTGGGTGAAAGGCAGGGGAAAAGGACACTTGGGTGGACAATGGGCACCTGCTGGATGCAAGGGGTAGAAAGGACACTTGGGCAGGCGGTGTGCATCCTCCAAGGAAGCTAAGTACCTTCCACCCTCACACAAGCAGACTCCGCTTCTGAGTAATTCCACACACTGTCAGACTATCGATACTACTTAGCCTACAACTGGATTACGGCAAGCGGCATCCACTGCCCTCTAGTGCTGCTGGCTGCAAGGGGTAGAAAGGACACTTGGGCAGGCGGTGTGCATCCTCCAAGGAAGCTAAGTACCTTCCACCCTCGCACAAGCAGACTCCGCTTCTGAGTAATTCCACACACTGTCGGACTATCGATACAACTACTTAGCCTACAACTGGATTACGGCAAGCGGCATCCACTGCCCTCTAGTGCCAAACCAAAACGTGGCAAAGTTGCGACGGTGGTGTGCAAGGGTGGGAAAGACCGACCACACAACTGCGGCCCTTGTATCTCATAAATTTGACTGGTCTCTGCTCTCAAGTCTATCATCGCAACCAGAAGAGTAGTGCTGGATCTTGCTGACGTTCGCGTTCGTGTACTCGTTTGCCCTTCCCATGATGGTCTAACTACGTCCATGGAAACTCGATTGTGCTGGTCTCCTGACTTCATCAAGCAACCCGGATGACTCGGATGTGACCCTGCGAATTGGCAGCAACAAGGGTACTATTTTCAGCATCAGGGGATTTCGGACTCCAGCAAACAGCGCTGACAAAGTGGCCCTTCGAAGGATCCCACCAGACTGGCGGCACGGTCTGAAGGCTATTCATTTCAGAGAGCCCACTCTGTAACTGGGGTGGAGCTCGCTGTCGGTCAAAGCTCGTAACCCAGACAGCCTCGCTATGGCTGCTATGATACACAACAACCTCGTTATTTTCGGAACCGCAAGCAAACAATCCTGATTCCGCATGAGTCGACAACCCAACGAAGTTCTTCATGTTCCTATGAGAGTTATGACTGGTGCGCACAGAGGCTCTTCCCGGCAGCATGGTTGGGATCGGGGTTGAATTTGATGCGGATGCTACCTGCGTGTTCTGCTCCCTGCTTGCTAGACCTGTGGAGAGATGATCATGAGTGGATGTGGAACCGGTTACCTGACCAGGGAGGTCCCACAGCTTCACAGAGCCATCGATGGATGCGGAGACTAGGCTTGCAGCACCCATGAACTTCATATAGCTCACTGCTTTGGTGTGTGCATCAAGTACTTGTAGAGGGGAAGCTGGCTTTCTCAGGTCGTACAGGTAAACATTCGAGTCAGCGGAGGAGGCACCCAGAATGTAAGGGATTGGAGAGAACTCCACTGAACAAACCGGGAGCCCAGACGGAAGATGGATGGTTTGCGTCGGACTCTCTGAATTGCAAGTCCATAACCTTAGCAGCCCGTCGTCGGAAGCAGACGCCAAAAGTGACGAAAACCTTGTACCACTGAAGCGTCGACTGAAATCGATGCTCCACACACGCTGGCCGCTCTGCCTCTCTGTCACAGCAACTCCCCTAGTGATATCCCATTCCGTGATGACGCCATCGTAGTCCGCAGTGGCAATCACAGTTGAATTATAATCTGGATGCCATTTCAAAGAACTCAGCTTTGCAGGAGTGCAAACAGAGAGCATCTCACACGGCCCCTGGCAAGACAGTCCGCCGCTGCTACTATCAGCACTGTCAACGTCCCACTCTCTCGCACTCTCCCTCCCACTGGAGGCAATAGGTCTGCCATTCTTCTCTTTCTTCCACCTACTTCTCCCGTCTTTCTCCTGCTCCTCGTCTTCGTTACCTTCAGAATCCGACACTGTCTGACATCCCCCTCGCTGACCTGCCAAGACCCTGCTCAACGAGTACACACGGATCTTTCTCGCAATCCCTCCCGTTGCAAACAAATCACCCGATCGGTCAAAATCAATGGTGCTGATTGTATCTGGTGATGATTCTCTCCATGTACGGGAACCTATTACCGCACATGTCTGAAATTGCCAACTTGTCTTCGTCTGACGTTTCGCCAAATCGTCGCTGAAGCAACCGCGGTCTTCGTCCTGCCGAAGACCTCTGACTTGAAAAGGACTGTACACAAAAGACTGATCTTTCTGAGGCGAAGTCACCAGCAAATTCGACTTGCCACTGCCATCCTCTCCCCCTCCTGTTCTCAAACCAGTACTCTTCACTTCAGTGTCACAAAAGCCTCCACCCTGCCCGGCCTCCCACTCCATTCCCACACTTCCACTTCGAGAAGTGCGCCGCTCTTCCTCCGGGTCAGCATAGTTACCTGACGCAGCGCGGGCATCCGCTGCTGCTGTAGCGATAGACTGCAGGCAGTCATTTCCTGCTAACACCGGCCTTCTCCTCCTCCTCCTCCTCCTCACCACCCCCACTGCTTTCCCAGAGCTAGTTGCAGAATCCTCAATGTCTGCAGAAATCAACGTACTCGTGTCACGGCTGTCAAGCTCAAGCTCATCATCCCTCATTCTCCATCTCTTTCTGTGATCATCCGCTGTAGCATATCCGTCCGAGCTCTGGCAGTCAATGCCAGGTAGCCACCTGCTACCTTCATTGGCTGAGAGGTTATTCCTCTTCTTCGGCCCTGACTTTCGTTTCTTTCTAGGATGATGCTCAGCTGTTCCCGGCAAGCCCAAACACCCCTTTCCACTTTCATCACCACCGATGTCCACTTGGCAGCTTTCAGAAACAGCAGCAAGCACGCCTCCACAGTCACGGGTTGGCTCTTTGCCACTCCCATGCCAAGGATGTTCTCCCACCCTGTTTGCAAAATGACAAGGATCACGATGAGGAAAACCGGCAAAGACGTAAGTGTGGCCGTCATCTGTTGCACAGTCTTTGGCACTGCCAATGACTACACTCGTCACTGCGTCTGCATCTGGAAGAATGGACAATCTGCATGTGTTCTGCTTAAACAAAACCAGACGAGAAAGACCACCGACATGACTTACGTGAGATCATCTTGCAGTGAATGAAATGAGAATCATAGATTGGATTTATCACTGTGGGTTCTGCCCTGTTGTGGGGGTGAAGACGATTCCATGGACAAGGAGGGGGGAAAAGCAAAGCCCCAGGAACAGGCCAAAGAAGACAACACATGGCAGCCACGGCGGTGTTTAAACGCTCCAGATAACGGCCAAGCAAAAAAAACAGGGAATGGCAGTCAGTGGTCTCTGGACACTCCAGACAACTCTCTCTGAATCCGATGCTGGTTTTCCGCACCGCTTGCACATCTGCCTCCTTCCATATGACATTGTCCTGCAGCATAAGAAACATCACTGCATCATGCTGAGGTGGCAAGAAATGAGAGAATGATCCAGGGGCGCGAGGGAGAAGACAAGGAGACAGTCCATTTGAGTTTAAAGCTGGAGCAGTGTGTCCACGCACGGGTGCATCTGCAAAAGAGGGGGGGAAGGGGAGAGGAGGGTTTAGGGGTTTAGGGGTTAACGGAGCCAGGGGAAAAAAAAAAAAGAAAAAAAAAAAGAAAAGAGTCTGCTCTTACCTCCTGGGGTTCAGTTAGTACCCTAGCTGTTCCTTTATTTCTGTTTGCCATTTCTTACTCCATTTTCCCTTTTTGTTGAAGTTGCAGATAAGGGGACGCTGGACCCGGTTTCCAGCTCGAGCCAAATCTGGGTAATGGCCCCAACTCTGTCTGGGTTGAGATGTTGACGAATTCCCGGCCTCATGGACTTTTAAAAATTTATATAATAAAACTGCAACTATTTAAAATAAAGTAATAATAATTATAATAATTATTACTATAATATAATAATAATAATAATAAAAATAAGAAAAAATGGAGGAGGAAGCGGGACTACGAATTGAACTCAATTTCAATTCTATTTTGTTTTGAGCTTCCGCTGTGTATTCTCAGTCCGGTTTGGTGTGGATTTTGCACCTCCCAAGTCTGCTTTGTCATCTCGCTTGTGTATGGGAACATGCTGATACTTTATTGGATGGAATTTCAATCGGTCACATAACAGGTAACTACCACGCGTGTGGCCTTCCACTAGTACCCCAGCAGGTCACACACACACCCATGCAATCATGCAGACAGTTAAACACACGAGAACTCACACACAAAAGCTTAGAAATATCAGCAGAAATAGTCCTTCGGGACATCCGTTAAAATTGGAACGATACAGAGAAGATTAGCATGGCCCCTGCGCAAGGATGACACGCATAAATCGAGAAATGGTCCAAAAAAAATATAAAAAAATAAAAAAAATCAGCAGAATGCGGGAATCTCAGCAAGTCACTCGATCAGGCAGCAAAACTCATAAAACAGCAGGTTTCTCAGCCTGCAATTTTGCAGGTCATTATACAATTGTAATTTCACAGAGTCGTGACATCGTACTATCTCTACTTTTTCCCCTTGAGCAGAGGACTCCGCCTTTCAAAAAAGAAGAGAAGACAAAGTGTCCAGCATCCAACCTGAAAGTATCAGGCCGTATAAGCTGTGGTATGCGATGGTCTTACTACTTTCAACTTGCGAGCGGAGCCACCAAGAGTGACCTGAATGATGACAACTCACAGAAACCAAAACAATTGTCAGCCCTGATCGAAGTCTTCCGTCAGGAATGATAGAATAATACCCTCTTTGACTGTGGGTTTACCATGTATAGTATATATGTATCGTCCCTGAAAATTCCTGCAAAATTCTGAACACAGCTACAACGACCATGTGTTCTGTCTCAGGAGAACACCGCAATGCAATGAACTGCAGTTTTGCAGCAGGCTGTAGGCTTCTTCCCTATCGCCACCTCCGCAATGCATGTTCCCTCTGACGTCCTCTGACATAATCTCTTTCCAGATCATCACAGGGCCCATCCTCCCTCCACATTAGCAATAAGATATGGAGCATGGCGCAGCACTTCCTCACCTTCGTGGAGAAAACAGCAGTTCACACGTGTCGACGCCAGGTAAGTCGTCAGTCTCACGGCCCTGATCCTCCTCCTCGTCCCTCTCATGACCTACTCAACAGCTATTGGGATATGGCCGCACCAACATAATCTCCCTCTAGGCTGGCGCTCTCCAGCAGCATCTGGCGCCAGCATCCGGCGCCAGCATCCCACTCCAGCAGCCTCGCGATACAGCACTAGCATCAAGCCAGCGCAAGGCAGAATGCCATCCCCAGTGTATGGATGTCCTTTTGTAGCGCTGACCAGTGTTGACTGGCGTGGACCAGTCTCCCCTTTGACGGTGTCGACGCTTCAAATTTGCCCGATCTCAAGGGCCTGGATGCAGCGTTGAAGCAGCGGTACCTTTTCCCAGTCGGGACTAGACAACCATGGATGCGCATCTGATCTATGGCCGAAGCTGACTCCCAGGCATTTCTCAGACTTGGGGCGTGACTTTTGACCCCTGTTTCAGCCTTTTGACCGAAAGTTACGACCCATGCTCGCGCCCCTCAAATGTTCAGGTTCCGGCCATTGGTTTTGTAGACCTCACTTGGGGATTTCAATCTGCAGAAGAGAATCCTCAGCGAATCACTTGCGGTAATTGGAAGTATCAGCAAGGATTCAATTCGGGCGCTGACCGACGTGAGCCAGCCAGCCCCCTGTAATCCGGTCACAGTTGACCGAGGGCATCTCTCCAATAAAGATTCCGATCGAGCGAGTCGAGTGAGTTTGTTCCGGTGACATGTCCCTCTGACATCAGTCCGTCAGTCTGTCATAATTGGCATGTCAGGTCAATCACTCTGCAGTTCGTCAAGAGGTTAGTCCATGCTTGTCAGTCTGTCTGGCGTCTGTCGGCGGTCAACGTGTTGACTATTCCTCCTGACCCCTGCCTGCAGTTGACCGTGGGTTCTCAGCCTGAGCACATGCTGTGTTTTGGTTCTCAGCCTGAGCACATTCTATCTGTTCTGTCCCAGTCTGTCATGTCAGATCGACTGCTATCAGTCAGAAAACTATGTCAGTCACATCAGACGGGCCATGCAATATATGGGTTGCACCAGTCTACCAAAGCGATACACACACTATTACACAGTCATCTCGTGGGTTTGCAAGGCAGTGCCGCAGCCTGCAAACTCTGTTTCTTTTTCCTGCAAATCGAAAGATTAATTCCCCATGCATTTGTTTTTCCCTGCATGAGCTCAGGGTTTTCTTGCCATGCTAACTAGTGCTGGTGTTCGTGGGAATATCCGAAAAGGATCCAATTAGAAAGTATGGTATTTTTTTTATTGAATTGCAGCATGCGGTAAAAGGAAATCTTTTGTCTGATTTTGCTGCTAACCCTCGTCTGCAATCTCGCCGAATGCCTACAGACATTGAGTACTAATCTGCCATTTGTCTTAACCCTTCTCTATCTCAGAGTACACAACACAGTAGATTTACATTAAATTGTTATTCTGCGTGTGAATTCTATTTGAAATTTTACTCTTTCAATTTCATTGAAAAGAAAAGAGTGGGATGAGGGATAATATTGACAGTGAAGGGAAGGGAAAAGGACCTGCCATTCCCCAAACCGCCATTTAGACTGAGATAGAAAAAGCAAAGAAGGCTGCAAAAGCAGCCGAGGCACAGGTGGAGAGATCAGTGAAAGAGAAGCAAAATGCAGAGAAGAAGGCTTAGGAGGTCAATTGGAGGGAATGGTTGGTCATTTAAAAAAAGCAGAAACTGATGGCAGGTTTGACAAAACCCATCAGCTTCTGGCCGAATGCATCAATCTGGAGGTAACAAGCTCCAAAAATACCCATACCTTCTGGAATGACAGCAGGACTTCGGTGGAGAACGGATTGTGCACCATTGAAGCCAAATTGGCCTCCCTTGCTGAGTCCCTAATCACCTCGATCCACGTCCTCCACCTCTTCCTCCTCCTGGTCCTCCACCTGCCTCTACACCTCTTTCTACACCCCATTCCCAAGCATCTTCCTTCTCTGCTGCAACAACTTCAGCCAGTTCTCCCAACCAGCCAGGGTTGGGTGTGTGATCCTACTCCTCTCCTTAACGGGGCGTATGTACGCGAGAGGAAGGGGCAGGTCCAGTGGTAGGAAGGGAAAGTGGCCTAACTGTGGGAGATATTGGATGAATACTAACCAGGGTGGGCAGTCTTCGGAGTTCATCGACATGAGTGGTGTGCCGTTCCAACAGAACATAGAACCACCTGGAGTTGCGAATCAAGTGCCTGGAGTATCGAACCAAGCACCACCTGGGAATGCTTCCCAGCATTTCCACGGACCTCCGCACTGTGGACCGGTACCGGTGATGTCGGCAATCATATGGCGGCACCGACTATGATGCCCTATCCGCCATATCAGCCTGCAGGCTGGGGTTTTCAGAATTGGCCCGCTTCTGGCCAATGACAGGTGCCGAACCTGCCTATTTTCAATCAGCAGCCTGCTGTCAACCAGCAGCCTGCTCAAGCGCAAGGAGGGGATCGGCCTCCAAACGATAGACCGCCGACAGCAGGGAAAGGGCCAGCGGCGAATGCCTTTCCGGGTCCAGGGAATAGAGCCTACTTTACAAAGGAGTATATAGATATACTAGAGGGAATTAAAATGGATAAGGCACTTGATGAGGCAAAGAAGAAGGTGGCCGGTGGTAGGTGATCAGGTGTTACATCTTCGACGCCACACGGGTCCTACCGGACCCGACGTAGGTGTAGAGGGACACAGAAGGGCCAAAGGCCCGACCTTGGGGGGTACTACAGGCTGTAAAGGCCTTACCTTGGACCAGACCCGATGAGCCAGCCCAAACGACATTACCGTTTGGGCCTGGCGGCGCTCTTGAGGCTGCCGCCCGCCGGTTGGGGCTGAACCGTCCATCTGGACGGTTCAGGGCACGGTCAGGCCTCGCAGCATAGAGGCCGACCTCTGCCCACCGGTACAAAAGTACCGGTCCAGCCTCAGTGAGGCTATCGACCTACCGGCATTCTACCGGTACGGTATGGTA